ATATTGTTAAAAAATTATTATATATTATCAAAGTTGTAATCATTTGAGAAGTGTGAGTCTCGAATTTAGAAAAGGATGAACTTTAAGGAAAACGCGACGGGAGAGAAGACACAATCGCAAATATTAATTGTTATTTATATTTGCAGATGTCGATGGCGAACGATAGTAAATACAAAATACTACGGACAAAGAGCGAATATAATCTTCCATTCCACGGTAAACATAGAACGCATCGATACATACAATAAACAGACGTTCGCGTTTGAACGGATATTTTCTCTCATCGTCTTTATATTTTATTTATATCAATCACACAGCGTCGAGGGATAACTCCGCTCGTATCCTTCGATACACTTATATATCAGAAATACACACTCGTCTCTCTCATCGCTGAGCCATTGTTATTATTATTACTATCATTATTATTTTCATCCGTTCGCGATATCGTATCGACGATATGACGTCTGATTCGTCGCTCGCGTCACTCGCAAAAGTTGCCCCGCGATTTTTCTCCGACGTTCCCGATAAAATTCGAACCGGCAACGAATGTCACGGTAGCGTATCAGATCTCAGCGTTAACTCACGTCACTGTTTATTTGTTAATTCCACCTGCGCACGCGCGGTTATAAATAACCGGAAACCGTCAGAGATGAACGGTGGCGTAAGGCGAGATCGACATCGACGGTGTCGCTATCTTTCCGGCAACGTCAAAACAAGAGAAACGTATAGGAGGGAATTATTTATTTCGACGTATTCACGTAAAAGTTCGGAAGGGGCGGGAGGGCGGGAGGGAGAGAGCGGCGGACACGGCCGGAACCGGAGGCGGCCCGACGCGCTGTTTTATTGCGAGCGTCTGGCCCTCCCGGGCACGGTTATTTTTCGCTTCGGCTTGCCAGGCGGAACTCTCGCGTGCGCGGCACGACAGTTTATTCGACATGTTCCCCCGAATTTTTCGATCCATTCGAAGCCCCAAAGTCAGTGCGCGCGCGTCAAACGAAATTGCTCTTCATCCGCGCAAGGGACAAAACGCGTAAACAGACGGCACTCGCGCGCGGCAATTCGCAATGCGTAACTTTCTCCTTTCTCGTTCATTCGCCGAACGTCACAAATCATACACGATGCACCGGTCGCTCGAATGCGCGCGGTCATACGTTTCCGTACGACAATGGGGCGACTAGTGGATGAACAGGATAAGAGAAGAAGAGAGAGAGAGAGAGAGAGAGATAATAGGCGGCAGATAACGGCGGATGGGAAGCCGAAATGACGGCACAGTCGCAGTTTATCCCTTTCTGACGTGGCTCATAAAACCGTCGCTCCCGCTGATATTTTACCGCAATTTCGCTCACTCGCTCTTTCGCCAGTTTGCTCGTGTGCTCGCTCGCAAGCCCGTTATCGAAAGCTCGCAAACAAGGGGCCAGCCAGGCGGAAATACACGGCCATTCGGAAATAGGTTGAGATGATCTGCCGAGTTTCGCGATGCAGAGGTCGTCTTCGACGAGGATCCCGAACTTAACGACTCTTCCCGTCGCGACGGGGGAGAGAGGAGAGAAGAAATAGAAGGGAGAAGAGGAAGGAACGAGGCGGCGTATATTCCAATGGGGGGACGACGACGACGGTCACGATAGCGGCGACGCCGACGGCGCGGCGGAACCAACGGAAGAAGTTGGATCGTGTCGTCTCGCGGAGGAGCGCAAACGGTTAATGTACGATCTCGGAGGAAGAGGAGGGTAGAAACGTTCGCAGCAGCAATCCGGAACGACCGGAGGGGTTATTCCAGGGTTGAACGATAGCGCCAGGAATAAGTACTGTTCGCCGAGAAAGCTCTCCATTGGGTACGGGAATTGGATGTTCGGGAGGACAGGGGAGGAAAGAGCGAGCGAGAGAGAATGAGGAGGAGGCTCGAGGGGAGGAAAGAGAAGCGGAATCGATGGTGCTCTCAAACAATTCTTCACTGTGTATTGACCGTCGGTAAATCAATCAGAGACAGTCGTTTTGACCTTTACGATCAGATTCCGGTTGCTGCAACGACATGATGAAATAGAGAGAAAGAGAGGAAAAGCGAAGGAGAGAAAGAAAGAGAGAGGGGAGGGGGAGAAGAAGGCAAGAAGCAAACGGAAGAAAAAGACGGACAGGCAAGAGGACGGATAAAGACGTGGAAGACAGAAAGAGGGAACGAAGGAAGAAGGAGCGAAAAACACATGGGCGAGAGAGAGGGGTTAAAGAGCATGAGCTTAACGTCGGAGAGGGGGGGGGGAGAGGGACGGAGTAGAGGGCGGGATCGAGGAAGCGAAGAAAGATGACGTTCTGACGTTGTTTATTTCCAATCGCAATTACGCCATCCGTGGAGCTTCTTGCGCCGAAAAGCGGAGCGTCCCGCGAAAATCCTTTTAAGTGCATCGCCTCGTGGAGATCGGGTCACTGGGAACTTCGAGACGAGATAGCAACATACGGATTTTTTCTTGCGATTGAACGGTGACCGGAATTCACTTATGAATTCCTTCTCGTCTTCGCTGCGCACGCGCTTGTTCTCAAGTAGAACAAGCTCGTATCTCGAATATGCGAGGGCAGTTCCGAGGAGAATTCAAACGAAGGCGAGCTGCCAATGTAGAGCTCGAGTCGTGGATTTGTATACGCTTTAATCGGCAAAATAGCTTTAGTGTGATTAGATCGCTGGTATTTTCCAGAAAATGTCTACGCAGGAAAATTACAGTAACTTATTTGCACATGTTAGCTTATGATTTCGTCGGTAAGTATACGTAAATAATTAATAGTTTAATTAATATCTAATTTGCAAGAGGAGAAAAGAACGACGACGCGCCCGGCAAAACGCCCTTTCTCGAGAGATTTCTCACTACAAAAATGACACGGAAGTTCTCTCAACAAATACGCGAGAATAAATCGCGGGATTGCGTCCCCTTTTCCTCTCTGCAAATCCCACCCGCGGCCGCTATCAGTAGCACCGCAAGGGAAATAATTCCATCCGCGATTCTCGGCTCTCGCAGGACCCATGACATTTACTTTACACGCGTGGACGACGACGCGAAATCACACCGAGAACCGTATCAATTCTGCGTGATGTCGCTTCAATGATGCATGACAGACACCGAAGGGCCGAGACGACCCGGGAGGATTGCCACGATTCTCAGCGATTCCGCCGTTTTCCTGCATGCATCGCCGCTGCGCCGGCCATCCGTCCTACAAATTGCGACGAATCTCTCTTTTACACCGGGAAAACAATTTTTGGTATCCACAAGTCGAAATTTTATAGTAAGTGATATTACAAAGTTTCAGCTTGACAAAAAATATCGTAGATGAAAATACCAAAACCCGGATATGCACCTAAACCTGGACATTCTTATTGTTTTGGTTTTTAACTGCAAATACCTGAACCCGTCGAATGACGAAATGAATGTTGAAAGTTTAAATATTCGTAGACTGAAATAACAAAAATATCCAGATTTAGGTGCATGTCCGGGCATCGTTACTTTTACCTTAAAAGGGAATATAGTTTCGATGTAATTTTTGCTACAATATTTTTTTCCGTGTGCGATTTTAGTGGGATTTTTTTCAGTGGACGTTTCATCGGTAATACGCGCGTATGATCGGAAACTACGCTTATTCTCATGCGCTCCAGAGGAAACTTGATCAACGGTGAACGATGGCAATCTGTGCCAGTGGGCCACACAGGGGGCGATGATTTAACACTTTGTCGCCCGACATTCGGCGGCATAAAACATGCAGCACATCTCGTGATGAATCGCGCCCACGTTCGCCGCCACGTGGCTTGCTTGCTTCCACCCGGCAATCGCCGTACTCCATTAAATCGCCGCCCCACAATTCCGCGGCTACGACTTTATCAACTCTTCATTCGGCGTACCATTTAACATTCAATAAAGTACGTTTCCGCGCCCGCCCAAAGATTCCGACTTTTATTCTAATATTTGTCTTTAGTAGTTCTTTCTAACGTTTCACGTTTTCCTGTGTACGAAATTTTTGGAGGGTGAAATACGTACGTGCGGATGTTGTGCTTTACACACAAACCGGTTTAAGGTTAATTCACTCCACGTTAATAACAATCAGCATTGGCTGTTATTGGCTACTTTTCCTAATTTCTTGATGGAATTATTAATTATTTTAATTATTGTCAGGCAACAAATTATATAAATAAACATTTTTGTTGGCAATTTTCTCAGTTAATCGTCAATTAGATTAAGTGGAATTTGAAGAAAGTTATCCTCGGAAATTGATACGTGCTGAGAAATATTTCGAATGATTTTCGTCAAAAAGGCAACATGATATGATAGTTTCACTGCTCTCGAACGATAACCTGTGGTGTATACATTAGAAGCTATCAGTGCTGTTTCGAGGGTAACGTTGTCGTTTCCTTGAAACAATCAACAGTCATGATACACGAATATGTAGAGGCATGTTGGGCATCAACGAGAAACTCGATCGTAATCAGTGAACACTAAGGCTATTATGCCGGATTATGTACGGTCAGTATCACGTACGTTCCACTCACTGGATCGAAAATTATACGGCTTTCAACACACATACACATAAGGTCAAGATCGTCGTAATTGAAGTCCTATTATAACCTTATCCGAGTTAGTTGTACGACCTCCCATTTTATACATACGAGTATTATAAATTATTAGGTTGGTAAGAAAGTTATGTCGTTTTTCTGTTGCTCCAATTGAAATGTTCATTATTTCATTGTTCTTTGTGCGATTTAGACAATTTTGGTATTAATCGAAAGCTAGTAGTTCCACGTTTTGATTTTTGATATTACAGGTGTTTTTTAATCATTAAATTTTGAGAAATAGCGGTATATGATGGATCAAGAGAAACTTCATTTTAGGCACTTTATGCTTTATGAGTTCCAACTTGGTCATAATGCGACGGAAACTCATAAAAATTTGTGTTTAGTCTTTGGACTATCTAAAGTTAAAGTGCGTACGGTCCAAAGATGATTTGAAAAATTCAGGTCAGGTGACATGATGCTTCAAGATGAACCTCGCACCGGAAGACCAAAGGAGCTTGATTACGACGTTCTGAGGGCTTTAGTGGGTAATGAACCACTATTGACTACAAGGGAGATCGGGGATAAGTTAAGCGTTAGCCACATAACAATTGAAAACCACTTGAACAAGCTTGGCTTTGTCTACAAATGATGTCGTTGGATTCCCCGTGAATTAAGCGAAAAAAATATGGCAGATCGAATTTCTATTGCTTCTTCTTTGCTTGCTCGACAACAATATGAGCCATTCTTGGATCGCCTAGTTACTGGTGACGAAAAGTAGATTGACAATGTAGTGAGGAAAAGAGCCAAGGTAATGCCAGGCAGTTCACCTCCTACCCTTGCGAAGGCCAATTTGCACCAAAAAAAACTAATGTTTTGAGTTTGGTGGGATTGTCGAGGTCCTATCCACTGGGAACTGTTGCAACCAGATCAAACTGTCACAGCAGACCTATATTGCGATCAGCTAACCCGAATGGACACAAAAATATGTGAACTTTGTCTAGCACTGTATAATCGAAAAGGTGTTGTCTTCCAACATGACAATGCCAGGCCTCACGTGACTTTAAGGACGAAGGAGAAGCTGCAGGCTGTTGGTTATGAAGTTTTATCATATCCATCATACTCACCTGGCACCATCTGACTACCACTTGTTCCTCTCGATGCAAAATTTTCTTAAAGGGAAAAAAATTTGGAAATTTTCAGGATGTTCAGAGGGCAGTGGTAGATTTCCTGGCTTCAAAGGATAGGATCTTTTATACATCCGGTATAAATGACCTTGTTGACAGATGGAGAAAGGTCTTAGAAAACAGTGGTCAATATTTCATTAATTAATCTCATTTATAAGCTTAAATATAAAAAATTGAAATTTCTTCAAAAAAACGACATAACTTTCTTACCAACCTAATATATCCCAACTAATCTCTTTGCGTTTTTAAAATTGACTCTAATAAATGACTTTCCCGATTAAAAGTTTTCACGTCCGAATTTCATCGGCGCACCCTGTATATCATAATAATACATAATAATACATAATAATGATATACTCGAACGCGTGCCATGACAAGAACATATGCAACTAGCGCGAAATTGTGCCGCGCGAAATGTCGAGGAGAATGGCGTTTGTTTCAAGTTTGTACGTCGATTTTTCGCCGAGTTACAGGCGTTCGAAGAGTGCGAGATTTTGACGGACGAGCGCGAGCGGGAGCCAAAGCGCGTGCGGTATACTTTGTAGCGCGTTCGCGCAGCGGACTTCACACGTCGCCGCGGCGCGCAACATTGTCGCGAGTCGCAACCGCCGCTTTTGACGATCCGCCGCTCGTCAATATCTCCATGTAGAAAAGTCATAGCGAACTGTGGTAAATTGCATTCGAAAGCTTAAACCGTCCCCTTTCCGACAAAGAACAATCGTTTCTTTTAACACCGTCCATTCATTTTGCGGTACATGAAAACATCGATCGCGCGCGCGATTTACTTATTTTCTTTACATGATGATATTGAATATTTAATATTCAGTATCCAACTCTCATTTACGGCCCGGTACTATCATAGATAACAATTTCTTATCAGACGTTTAAACGTCATATATTAGCAGTTCCGTTGCGATAGAATCGCCGGAATTCCATCGGTAACACCTGGCCGTGTCGGCACGCGGGAGGGATGCGGAGTGCAAACGGGACGAAATTATCTCCTGAATTTCGGACGGAACGCCGAGACAACGAGGCGCAAAAAGGCGCGTAATCCGAAGAGAAGCGGCCGCACGTTAATTTGGTCGACGGCGCAAACGCAATTACCGCCCCGATCGAGGCACCCGTAACCGCCCATTATCATCTCCCCGTGAAAAAAAAAGCGAGATTCTCCGTCTCGCTGTTACACCATTCTCGCCTTTTACGAGGAGAGATGGCTTTCTAATGGATGTTGCTTGTGTGCGCTCGCTCGCTCGCTCGCGGCTTCGCGCGCCGTAAAACGTGGACTCGCTCTCTTCCACGAAGAGCGAAGAACCCCGACGGGTTCCAACGTCTCTCTCTCTCTCTCTCTTTCGTTCCCGTCCTTTCATTCGGCGCTCGCGATCCGGATCCCGAAATTATTAGCTTCTGCTCGCGCGAGGTCCACGCTCCCGTGGCGGTTTGTGTGTACATGTATACGCGCGACGCACACGGCGCTGTAAAAACTGCACGACCGATGCAAGGTGCGAGCAATCATTTTCGGGGGTCGGGGCGAAAGAAATTGCCGGGTAAGTTGCGTGTGTATGTGTGTGTGCATGTGTACGCGTTCGTCTAGAGAAGGGGAACCCGCGGCTGGCGGTGCGAACACCTGCTACTCTCGGCTACGTTCTACGACGTCCCGCTCGCAAACCACTGACAGACGACGACAACGACATGCCTTCCTTCGCCTCTTCGTCCTCTCAACTTTTCTCTCCTCTTTCTCTTTCTCCCTCCTCTCCTTCCCCCTCTGCGTGGCACTTAAACATTTCTGAAGAACGAACGCGGCAAGCCGGCTAACTTCGCGACCCTTGTCGGCGCGCGGCGTTTCCAGGCCGGTGAGAGACCACGCATGGGCGCGCGGAATTTAGTAGTTTCCCCCCCCCCCCCCGCGCCCGTAGTTATCGCTCATCACCACCTGCACCCTTCCCCTCCGCAAAAACACAATGCCACGGCCGCCCCCGTTCTTTCTGGCGCCGTGAACCAGATGGCGGTCGCATTAAAAACTTCTCGCGATTATGATTTCCCGATTTCAATGGTCGCGCGCCCCTCACTCTTCACTCTTTTCCTCCGAAGCATGGGACGGCCCATTCGGGGCGGCGGGCTTTTCGAAAAGCGCAGTTTTACGTCCTTTCGCGGATTAAACGGCCGCGATCACGTAAATTCGCGCCCGACGGATTTTTCCGCGCGGCAATAACCCGGTTCCTTCCACACCGCAAATCCAAGTGGGTTAATGTAGCTGAGACTTTTCCAGAACACATTTCCAGCCATTTTAAATCATTTAACACGATCGGGCGTGTTAACTTATACTTTAACGCGATTAAACATTTTAAATGACATAACCCAAAGCGGCGAGAAGATATACGAGGGCGGTCTGTTAAGTAGTAGGATTTGAAATGAAAACGCAATATTTCGGAAAAATTTCGATTTATTCTTCAACATTGTCCCCTTTCACTTCTATACACTTCTTCCAACGGTGCTGTAACTTTTTAATGCCCTCTAAAAAGTATGATTGTTCAAACTCTGCAAAATAGGCATCTATCTCAGTGATGATTTCCGAATTCGACGTGAATATCTTCCCTGCAAGCCATTTTTTCATGTTGGACAACAGGAAAGACAATTAATACTCTTAACAAATCTTTCCGCTGCTCAAACAAATTTTTTGGTGTCTAAACAAATCTTCTTTGCTGTCACTATATTGACAAACATTTGCTGTTCCCAGCAAAATTTGTTTTCTCCGTGTAAAGATATTTAGTTATAAGCAACATATCTAAATCGCTCTACCTTTTTTTATGTGATATTTTTATACGACGCGCGTGCGTTCTGCTGATTAGTACGCGTGAAACGGCGGCGCAAACGTTAAATGTCACCTACGCGCTGCTCGGGAAATATTGAAACCTCGTCAATCCGGGAGCGATCACCCGCACGATACTTCGTGACGTAAATGATCATCACATAGGAGTGCATTTTGCATCGCGTTTGTGGCAAAACGCCATTACGGCATGTTACGTAAATCGAGCTTTGATAAAGCCTTTTAGTGCTTATTTAGACTGCAACTTATCAGTCTTCCGAGCCGTATCGTGTCTGGTTGCACGTGTCTATTACGATTTGATCGCTGGTCTACACATTTTTTGACAGCGCTTGACATAACGTACAATGAAGAAACATTTTATGGTACTCGTAGATATAATCGCATAGCAATTGGAAGAATTGTAGACGAGAGATATTTCTAGTAAATGTTGCTGTAGTGATTTTGACCAGATTTATTGCAAATCTCTGCAAAACGCGTTCAATAACAAAACTATACAATATATAGGGTGAAAACAAATTTTGTTAGAACAGCAAATATTTGTCAATATAGTGACTATATAGTGACAGCGAAAAATTTGTTTTCCCGTGCGTTTCTTTCTTCTCTCTCTCTCTCTCTCTCTCTCTCTCACTCACTCATTCTTCCCTTTTTCTTATCTGCCGACCGGACGGTCTTCTTCCTCCGCGGAGGAACTTCTGTCTCTCCGGTACTTTTCGAATTTCACATATTTCCGACGTAGACTTCGCGTGAGAAACTTATCGGGTCTTAAACATCGCGCCTAATGGGTAAAACGTCAAACTGCTCTCCGGCGGCACTTAGCACCGTCCTGCCGCTACGGAATTGTCGCCGTCCTGTTTCTTGGAACTACCTCGAGGACGCGCGCGCCCGCGCTGCTGCGAAGGCAACTTCTAAGTCGCCAGTTTCCTAACTTCGCCGGCGTGAGGGAATTTTGTCGTCCTCGCTCGGTCGCTCCGGGAAGTTAATATACATTAACAGATATCGGCTCTCGCGAAGTAATAAAGCGTCGTAAATTCCCCCAGTCTCCCCTCGCTATCCCTCTTTGACGACACGGATATTTTCAACGCGGGTCGCCGCGCGAATCGACGCGGTGCGGCGCGACGAGAACGGCGCGTAAACATAAATCTCGTAAATGGAAATAGTCGCCGAAATCCCCGAAATTAAATCGACCGGCGACATTTCGGGCTATTTAAGTTTACAATGGGACACGAATCGCAATTCCAAGCGACAGACACGGCTCAGTTAGCCAGATAAATGCCGCGCTCCGCGGCAGTTTCGCGCGCGCGTGCGGTTTCTCTCTCGCGCGCGAGTCGGACTCGCGTCGTGCCCGGCTACCAGCGAGCGATGCTCGAACCAATATCTGCTCGTAACTTTGGAGAGTGAACAGACAAAAGAGAGAGAGAGAGAGAGAGGGAGAAAGAGAGAGAAAGGGAGAATTGGTGGAAACGAGTAGAAACGCGCTGCAGGAAGTTTGAGATATTTCCATTAAAAACCGGTTATACTATTTCAAGTATTTTCGTTTACTCGATGAACATACACACACATACACGCATACTCTCTCTCTCTCTCTCTCTCTCTTGGATATGCGTCGAAGTTGAAGATCGAAAACGGCAGCGTGTAAGTGAAGTCCGGATTTAGTTGCGGCTTCGACGTTCGATCGATGACCCACTTGCGAGGCAAATTCCCGAAATTTCGCGTTTGCATAATTAGATAATCGATCAGGATATGCAACTGCAGGATATCCTTGTGTCGAAATTTGAACGTCACTTTGTGGCGCTCTCGCAAGGATAGCCTACATCCACTTAAATGAATCCGTGGACTAGTAAAAATTTATTCTGACCATATCAATACTCATTAACTCTCTTTCTCCCCTCTATAATCGATTTTTCCTTCCGGTGAGCTTTCCGCCCACGCGGAAATTAAACGCGGTATACATGCAAGAACAAACGTATATAAATAATGACGCGAAGTGAGCGCGACGAAAAACGTCGCGATCCCTCATCAATTTAATGCGTTGCCGTAGAAACGACGGAACGGCGAAAAAAAAGAGGGAAAAAGGAAAAACCGCAACGCGGAAGCTGAGCGCGTAAAAGCCCATCGCGTACAAATTTACATAAGAGCGTAAGCGCGGCGCGACGGGCGTCTCGACCAATGAAACCGCCCTAAAAATAAGCCGCCGTATTGTTTTTCCCTTCTCTTTTTGTCGCACAGGACGTGTATAGCGACGTACGAATATTAAATGCGCGCTCAGAAATATATAAAAACGAGGGTACGGGTCTTTCTCTCTTTCTCTCTCTCTCTCTCTCTTCTATTGCATGTAACGAACTCCATATAATTAATTACAATTACGTACGATCGGTTGAACGGAGTGAAAAATACAACCAGAATATTAATTGAATTGTTACATTATCATTAAAATTCGTTGCTCGTTTTTCGACGTTGCGGCCGAGCGGTCGTTCGCGAAGTTACGCGTACTTCGCGCCGATGAACGTATAAAGAAGTTACGGCCTCGTTCGACACGCGGAAAGGATATTTCATTAGCTCTCCTTTCGATATTCTTTCATTTTCGCGAGACCATCTTATTAACTTATAACCCACCGAATGCGACGACAGCCACCGGCAACTGACACTATAATATATTTGCTGGGACGATTCGACGTGGAACTGAAGAAGAAATTGCATCATCTTGTAAAGAAGAAAGTCCTGTTCCATCACGACGATGCACCAGCACATTCATCCGCAATCGCTACAGCTAAACTGGTCGAATTGAGATACAAACTGCTCACTCATCCGCCGTATTTTCCAGATTTGACCTCCAGCGACTTTTTCCTGTTTCCCAACATGAAAAAATGGCTCGCAGGGAAGAAATTCACGTCGAATTCGAAGGTCATCACTATGGTAGATGCCTATTTAGCAGAGTTTGAACAATCATACTTTTTAGAGGGCATTAACCCTTTCGGTACGAGCGTTCTGTCCGCCATGACACTCCTGCTGTACGAGGCGCCGCTCCGAAAATGCACACATAGCACTTGGTCAGTTCTCTTTTGTATGAAGATTTTCCTAAGCATTAAATAAGAACTGTGCTTAATCTAATACGTCAGTAAAATAGAATACTCTGTTACCAACTATAGATGGTGCATACAGGCTGTCACATGGATGCCGGATATATCCGGCGCTCGTACACACAGGTCATCAAATGGATGCCAGATATATCCGGCGTTCGTACACACAGGTCATCAGATGGATGCCGGATATATCTGGCGTTCGTACATACAGGTCATCAGATGAATGCCGGATATATCCGGCGCTTGTACCGAAAGGGTTAAAAAGTTACAGCACCGTTGAAAGAAATGTATAGAAGTGAAAGGGGACTATGTTGAAAAATAAATCGAAATTTTTCCGAAATTGCGTTTTCATTTCAAATCCTACTACTTATCAGACCGTCCTCGTATATCTTCAATGCAATTCGATCATCGGTGAGGTTTCTGCGCAATCAATGGAAGAAGCGCGTGGCGCGGTCAACGTGTTAATTAATTAATATTTCCGCGAAAACCGCATAGTTTCACGGAAACGTCCCGTCGTCGTTGCACAAAAAGCCACTCGAATAATTTCAGCTCGCACATAGCTAGCTTTCCCGTCGACGATTTACGACGACCATTGTTCACACGGTCCCTGCGTTAATGCATATGCAATCTCGCGTGCGTGAGCCTGTCTGTGCTTCTCTCCATCGTTCATGGGCGCGTTCGCGAACAAGACGCACGACGCATCGCGCCGCGGGAACCACGTCGTTAAGGCACTCGTAAGAATTCAGCGCGTGGATCATCTAATAAATATTTCTCCGTGGCGGCGGCGGTATTCGATGTGCACCACGTGCCGCGTATCGTGCGGTATAAAAGGAAGATATACTCGAACGAGAAAACGTTACCGCCTCGGATCTCCGGTATATACATGTGTATACATACGTACATACATACATACGTACATACATACATATATATATATATATATACAGGGTGTCTTAAATTAATTTTGCAAATAACACGTAAATTGATAAGTTATTAATTAAAGAAGTATCTATAAATGACCATTTTCAAATATTGATAATTCGAAATTTCGCGTATTATTTGCAAAATGGTATAGAGCTTTTCTGCTCGGTTTCACCCGTCTACTTGCACACCTCTGGAACCGAGCTTAGTTTGGGACACCCTCTATATAATATATATATATATATATATATTTGTGTATATATATATACGAACTGCGTCCGGCACGGCTATACTTCGTACCTACACCTATGAGAGTTCGGTGAGCCTCAAGATTTTGGCGCCGCTAAAATGCCGGGCGTCGACTCCTCGCCGGGACGCGATGCGCCCGCCGGAATAGAACGCGTCGTTTCGTTATCTCGGTCACGTCCCGTCTGGACCCCCTCGGGCGCCCGTTTCCTCACAGTGGAAAAGAGATACTCGAATATTTGTTGCCCGAATCGCTCGGCCATCTATAACCGTGGTATCTGTACAGGGTGTATCAGGCGTCGCGAGCGCAACGTGGTTTTCCCGTGAGCGACGAGAGAAGGATAAAGGAAGAGATGGAAAGAGGCAGTCTCGATATCGTCGCGTCGATCACGTTCGCGTGTAGCCGAGGGTTCAAGGCACATCGGGTCAGGATGTTTGGAATTAAGCCTTGCGGTTGCATTCGTATTCTTCGATAGACCTCGCGCGAGTACATTCTCTCTCTCTCTCTTGGCGTGAGATTCCTCGTTCGTTTCGCTCGTCAAATTTCAAACGCGCATCGTGCATCCATGTAACGTAATTTTAAGTAAAATGTTATCGGCGCGAAATTTGAGTTGTACGGACGCTCAGATTATTTTCCCAACAACTCGGACAATTCGCGTGATCTCGCGTGTGTGTTGAGAAATGCAAAATTAACTTCTTTATTTTGCAACCTGTGCCAATAACGCTTCGCAACGAGACAGTCAGAGAGAGAGAGAGAGAAAGAGAGAGAGAGAGAGAGAGAGAGAGAGCTGTGCGGCGGCACGATTTTTTAAAATTAATGGTAATACACGCGTGTTTATTCGTCGTCCGGGAGAGAGAAAAATAAATAAATAAACGATATGATGGCAAACGACGGGCACTGTTGAGTAAACAAGTGTTGTTTCGGTTCAATTTTGACGAAGCGAAACGTATAAACCGCCACGAGAATCAAACCACCAAACGTTATCCAGTCTATGCTCGATTTGTCGATAAACACAGAGTAAACGATCCGTTATATGATTTTTACCGTTTTTAACTCGCGCCGCTACGAGCTATTACGCGAGTTTTTTTCGCAATAGAAATTCGCCAGTATAACGAACCGTTGCCAGCAATCAAACGTGCCAATTTTTTCCTTGATCTCTCCGACAGTCGTCATACAAAACTGATCTCACTCGTTCGTTCCCGTCAAACGAGTGTGTAAGAGAGAGAGAGAGAGAGAGAGAGAGAGAGAGAGAGAGAAACAAATGACGAATAAATTCACGGCGATACTAGGATCGAGTGCGCGTGAAGAAAGCCGCAAAGACGCCGACAATCTCAGCCGCGTTTGATATGCGAGAGAACTCACACGATCTCTCAAGCTCAACGCGCAACTCTTTAATCCGGCGAACCGTCGCCGTAGTCAAATGAATGGACGCGAGATAGTTGTTAATTAATGGATGAAGGGAGGACGTGTGACATCTGGAATTTTGTCGTCACACGCGCGCGTGCGAGGCCGGCTGAGGAGCGTGGTGCGGGAGAGAAAAGGAAGAAAACGGACGAGAGAGAAAGAGAGAGAAAAGCGAGGAAGCAGAGAATGATCGCAATAGCGTAGTTGGAGTGGGAAGACGGACAGGCGGAGGAAATAAAAGGCGGAGCGGAAGGCTTGGAAACGCGGAATACATTACACCCCAGAAAAGGATGAATCATACCGCTGATGGAATAAGTACTAGGGTGCTCGGCGGCCGCAGTAATTTGTAGGAGCAACCGACGTGCGGCCGAACGAAGGAATTAACGAGCAAACGAACGAGTGAAAGAACGAACGGACGACGCGCGCGATACGGAAACGGAAAAGTGTCTCGGATGTTGGACGGAGAGAAACCGAGAAAGAAAACGGGAGAGGTAAATGTTTGGAAGTATCACTCCGTCGAAAACTGCTTTCCTTTTTGTGGTAATCAACAAAATAAGTTACAGAAAAGTATTCGTATAAGTTTCAAAGAGGGGATATGAAGTTTTTTTGTGGAGAAAATCGGAAACGTCGAAAAGGTATATTGAACATTTTAAAGATCAATTCTGTGATAGCTACGACTTCGCTATAAAATCCTTTACGTTCGTAAACACATGTAATCAATCCTAAGTATGTATCAGCAGTTCTCTGTTTATCGTTCGCTCAGTTGACTTTTGACGATAGAAATGAGTGATAACAAACTCTTTCTGTTATTTCCATATAAAATAGACTCATTAATTTAGTAAGGCGAAAGATTCAAGCAATACTTTGATAAGATGCAACTTTTAGTAATAAGTATCCGGAAAAAACGCGGTTTTCGGTAAAGTAATACTTCCGAACATTTACTGAACGGGGAAGAGGAGCAGAAGGGACAAGAAAAAGAAGAATCGGCGAGAGAGAGAGAGAGAGAGGAAGAACCCGATGAGCCGGCGAAACTTATAATGGAATCATCCTTCTGACCTAACCTAAGGAAGTCGGAGGAGGCCGTAGAAAACTAGTTCCCTGTAATTCCTCCTTTGACGGGGAGTCCTCGCTGCTGCATCCTCGCGCGTTTCTGTCGCCTTTCCTTTCATCCTCTCGTCCCTTCTCGTCGCGGCCGCATTCGAGTCGCCGCTTATGCTGCGACACACATTAGACACATGCGCCGCAGTCAATGGAATAGCGCTCGACCGTAAACTTGACACAATTGCCACTCCGACGTAACTCAGAGGGATCAGCACAATGCTGGGCGTATACCTTCTCTACGGCGGACGGGCCGAGAGTGAGGGAGATGGATGGACAGATAGGTGGGTAGGTAGACAGATTGGTATATAGGCAGATAAATAGATAGAGAATTAACGAGAGAGAGAGAGAGAGAGAGAGAGAGAGAATAGAATGTTAGAGTAGATATACTGATGGAAGACAGTTCGGGACGAAGGTGAAAGAGATCCCGGGAAAGGTGAGACGCCCCGATGAGAAGGATATTGTAAATCTTCAGCCCTGCGTGGTATAAGGGAAAGGAGGGGGGAGGGGATAAGATGACGAAATGGATAACATGAAACACTTGGGAAAATAATTGCGCGGGCGTTTCCCGCCCGCTTTAAGAAAGAAGCTCGCTGGGTGTGTAGATCGCGCGGGCGCGCGCTATCACTTGGCGATCGCTTCACCAAGTGTGATACGGCAGCAAGCTTTTCGGCGCGTAAACGGAAGAGAAGCGCGCGATAAAAGAGCGCGAGAGCAAGGCGCGTCGTCAAGAGCGAAATGAAAGGAGGGAAGATATTGAGAAGCGCTCTCCGCGACTTCGGAAGAAAGGAGAAAGCTGCCCGTGCCCGTGAGACCCTATTGAGTCGGTCCATACACGTTTACCGCCGTTATTTTTCCCACCGCATCGAACCCGCCCCGTTGTATCGAGGCGTGAGACTGCGGAGTGAGCATCTGCCTCCCTCGATCCTCCTCTCTCCATTTCTTTTTCTCTTCTCTCAAAAGCGGTCCGCACTCGGCCGAGCACTCGAGGTTGCCGCCGTAGAGCTGCTTTTTGTCCAATCATGCGCGCGAAATATTGCCGCCGCGAGACGACCCCGGTTGCCTGTTGCAACGAGCAGAAATAAGAGAGGGAGGAAAAAACCAAAGAGAGAGGGAGGGAGAAAACGTCACATACTTGCCCCCGACGACTGATGCGCATTTAGATCGCGCGCCGGCGGCGGCTCCGGTCGATGACGCGCGCGCGCAGGTCGGTCGATCCTTAAAGTATTGTACTTTTCAGCGACGATATCAGAAGGACCCTTCGTGAACTTGCTACGAGGGTGGTCTGATAAGTAGTAGGATTTGACATGAAAACACAATATTTCGGAAAAATTTCGATTTATTTTTCAACCCCTTTCACTTCTATATACTTCTTCCAACGGTGCTGTAACTATTCAATGGCCTCTAAAAATTATGAGGGTGGATCAAAAAATTTGTCGAAACTTTTCGATATGTTTATTTAACTATCTAAGTGACAAATGTTAATTTTGGACGATATTAATTTATTTGAGAAACATTAAATTCAGCGAGAACGAATATATGCGCAATATTGCGGATATGAAGATACTATTTATTTTTATTCTCCTTATATGTTTGTACATCACTACCAGAAAGTGGTATATAAATATTTAAATATATACATACGTATACATATTTAAATATGTACTATATGTGCGTATATACACAGAATTAAGAGTCTTTCAAACTAATCTCGGTTCCTGCGGTGTGCAAGTAGAACGGGTGAAGCCGAGCAAAAAGTTCTGTATTTTACGCGTGTACTACGCTTTGCAGAAGGTTTGCGGACACGACGTTGTCGGCGCTCTTTCCTTCGGCCACTCGGGAAAATTGGCTCTTCACTTTACAACGGCAGCAGTCCGATGTTCAATAACCGCGATAAACACAACGATTTTAGTCACTTTTTAACACGCACGAACGACTCCGCGTACACTCGCAGGGACACGAGTATGCGGGGGATTTGGTCGACGATCGGCGGATTTATGCTCGCGCACATTAATCGAGTTTTCCTCGAGTACATTTGAGCCCGCTTCATTATCGTTCATTTTTGAATCACGTGTTACGTTCGGCGTGCGTTTATAATGGCGCGCGTTTCTGTCGCATTAGCGAGAGCGCGCGTGCCGTTGTGTTCGGTGCGCGCAATCGAAAGCTTCGGATTCCATTTTACAAAGAGCTATTTTGATATATCCCACGTGTACGAGTGTACTCAATTGATGTCACCGTGAATGCCACCGCGCCGCCGTGTACACATATAAATTTCATAAAATACACGGAAGCTCACCGACGGAAGATACGGAACGCACTAAATAATCGACATTGTTCCGCGGCTTCCGGATAGAAAAATGCGAAAAAAATGGAGGAAGAGGCAAGGGAGGGGAGGTGTGAAAAGCGTCACACGAGCGTTCGAACGAGCGTAAAAATCTCCGTCGTCTGCGCTTTTGAATCGTTTTCTGAACATTGTTCGTTCGGCTAATCCCGACGTATTGTTCGCGTATGTACCCGCGTCGTTCATGTATCTCCATTGTCGGTCGACAATCCCCGATCTTGACTTTAAACTCTGACCCGCCCGTCCGTTTTCGACCTCTAACTCGCGGTCTGAACGTGCAGCGCGCGCAGTGCATCTCTTCGAGTCCTCGAAATACGCGCTCGATCGAGCGCGCAAAAAAGGGAGAAAATAAAAAAGAAACGAAAAAAAAGAAATAACAGAGGGACGAGCAGAGCGAGCATAAGAATCGTAAATGATAAAATTCCCATTTTAATATATTCCGCCAGTCTTCCGTTTTTTTTTCTTCTTCCTCCTCGTTAGTTCCCTGTAGAATCGCACGCGATTTCTGTTTTGGAAACGGCAAAAAATGGCTGGGGCGATCGATATCTGATAAATATGTTACGAATCGGCAAAAAACATCTCACGCTGCACCGTATGTGCGCGCGCGTGGTTTAAAAATGTCAGAGGGGCCGCGCGGGCGGTGCTAGAAGAATACGCATCTTCGCGTTGAGCGAGTGGAAAGCAACGCTGCACATTTTTCGTGCATGTATGGGTTTTCCATCGTCACTCTGACGCAAATCGGTGGAAGGCTGCAGGCGGAGGATGTGCTGCGCGAGTTTTGCGCATCGCCTACCGCGTATTCTGTCCTTCTCATCGCTTGAACGCGGCCGAACTTTGGCATACACGAACGTCATAAAGCCCCGGAGTAATTGTGCGAACGCGAACGAGATATAATTGGAACGGGAGCGAGCGAGCGGATGGGCGGGAACGAGACCAGGTGGAAACGAATGTATCTCGACAGTTATTCGATTAGTCGTGCGAAAAATATAGTAATGCGCTAATTAACTGTGGAGAGAGCGGCGTCCTTGCACGTATACAGGGTGTCCCGTAATTTTTTAGTTATTAATTAAAGAAGCATCTATAATGACCATTTGCAATCATTGTATAAAAAGAGCATAAATGACGTCAAAAATAATTATTAGGTTGGTAAGAAAGTTATGTCGTTTTTCTGTTGCTCCAATTGAAATGTTCATTATTTCGTTGTCTTTTGTGCCTTTTAGACAATTTTGGTATTGATCGAAAGCTAGTAGTCCCACGTTTTGATTTTTGATACTACAGGTGTTTTTTAATCATTAAATTTTGAGAAATAGAGGTATATGATGGATCATGAAAAATTTCATTTTAGGCACTTTATGCTTTATGAGTTCCAATTTGGTCATAATGCGACGGAAGCTCATAAAAATTTGTTTTGTCTTTGGACCATCTAAAGTTAAAGTGCGTACGGTCCAAAGATGGTTTGAAAAGTCAGGTGACATGAAGCTTTAAGATAAACCTCACACCGAAAGACCAAAAGAGCTTGATGACGTTCTGAGGGCTTTAGTGGGTAATAAACCACTATTGACTACGAGGGAGATCGGGGATAAGTTAAGCGTTAGCCACATAACAATTGAAAACCACTTGAACAAGTTTGGCTTTGTCTACAAATGGTGTCGTTGTATTCCCCGTGAATTAAGCGAAAAAAATATGGCAGATCGAATTTCTATTGTTTCTTCTTTGCTTGCTCGACAACAATATGAGCCATTCTTGGATCACCTGGTTACTGGTGATGAAAATTGGATTGTGTATGACAATGTAGTGAGGAAAAGAACCAAGATAATGCCAGGCAGTTCGTCTCCTATCCTTGCGAAGGCCAATTTGCACCAAAAAAAGCTAATGCTTTGCATTTGGTGGGATTGTCGAGATCCTATCCACTGGGAACTGTTGCAACCAGATCAAACTGTCACAGCAGACCTATATTGTGATCAGCTAATCCGACTGGATACAAAAATACGTGAACTTTGTCCAGCACTGTATAACCAAAAAGGTGTTGTCTTCCAAAATGACAATGTCAGGCCTCACGTGGCTTTAAGGACGAAGGAGTAGCTCTAGGCTCTTGGTTATGAAGTTTCATCACATCCACCATACTAACTTGACCTGGCACCATCTAACTACCACTTTTTCCTCTCGATGCAAAATTTTCTTAAAGGAAAAAAATTTGGAAATTTTCAGGATGTTCAGAGGGTAGTGGTAGATTTCGTTGGTTTCATTAATTAATCTCACTTATGAGCTTAAATGTAAGATATTGAAATTTCCTCAAAAGAACGAGATAACTTTCTTACCAACCTAATATAATATATAATTCGTCTCAGTGAGAAAAACTTTTTCCCGATGCACCGAAGCGGTGTCCGGAAAATCTTTCGCCCGGGCGACGACGACAACGAGGCGAAGACACAGCCGGGAGGGGAAAATCGCGAGAGATTTTTGCGCCGCGCCGCGCCGCGCATTAGCGTCGCGTCGCGACCGTAAAATCGGAGATTCCGGTAACGAAACGCAGTATGCGCAAACTGCGCGGACGACCGACGCAATTATGCAACGCTCTAACGATTATTGCCGGGACGACGCCGTTATGAGATTATACGGGGCGCCGCCCGTCGTAACACCTGTCTAATGCTCGCGACCGCCACCGTCGTCTCACGTGAGGTAATCGTTGTTTCGACAATCTCAACGAGCCGAACAATGCTCCGTTGTTCGTCCGTTTCCATTCCCTCCGCCTCTCCTCCCCCTCTCTCTTTCCTCTACCTTTTTCTCTGTGTGGCTCTTTCTCTGTCTTTTCTTCCTCTCTCTTTTCCGTTTTCCGCTTTTCCCTCTCCGAATGCGTGCAAACACGCGGCCGCTCTCTTTCTTTCGCTCGCTCTTTCTCCTTCCCTTTCCTCCTATTTCTCTCTCTCCTCCTCCTCTCTTCCGACGCTTTCGGTGCTCTCGCATCGTGATAAAAAGGACGGCGCGACATTGTGCGTACAAAAACCGACGGCGGCGGCAGGATGGATCGCTGTTTCGCGAGATCTCGCACCATCGCGCTGTGATTTCCTCCCGGCTAATCATCCACCAACCAACCGGCAAGCCGGTTCCCGCCAGCCTCGTTTTCTATGCCGTTACTGTGCCTTATTAATTACGGTGGCACTCGGCAATGCATATACCAGCGGTGTAACGCCAATTAATTTCCCCGAGCACGGGAATTAATGTCAAAGGCAGAATGAAAGCGTGGATGGAAATTGCCGGCGACGACGACTACCACGACTACGACGACGACGACATTTCCACGTAAATATCGCGAGAGGGAGAAAGAGAGAGAGAGAGAGAGAGAGAGGGAGCACTCGCGGGAACGAGTCTCGGGACCTGAGCAGTTGTTATTCAATAAAGTTTCGTTAATTTGCGCGAGAGATTCGAGAGCGATCGGTCGCGATTGAGAGAGAGAGAGAGGGATCGCTTGCTCTCTCGCCTTCTCTTGCTCTCTCTCTCATTAAATATTTCAATTTAACCTGTCCCGTCGGCATTTCATCGCCCCGTCTCTCTCTCTCTCTCTCTCTCTCTCTCTTCGTCATTTTTTTTTAAGTTTAATTTACGTGACCTTGTCTCAGCGTTCGGCGAGAATGTGTACATACAAGAAGGGTGCCTGCATCGAAATATCTCTCTCTCTCTCTCTCTCTCTCTCTCTCTCTCTCTCTCTCGAGCACGCAATTGTAGTGTTACCGAATTATTAATAGCGTAGGCGCAATTTCCGCCGCCGACGAATGTCGTTCGAGTGTTTCCAATTCGTGAATCGGATAACGATTGTTTAACTACTTTAAAAATGTTTAAATGCGAGGGGAGCGAGCGAACGCGCAAGTGGTTCTAAGGAACATCTCCACTTAAATAAAGAGGATTTACACAGCGCGCTTATTTCCCATAAATGTAAATACACTCCGGGGCGAGTAAATATATTAGTCGCGAAACGTTATTCCGTGGCGGTTACCGACTCTCTCTCTCTCTCTCTCTCTCGGCCTTCGCCTCATTCCTTCTCTATACAAATGAACGCTCAAATATATGCTCAGTTATTAATTAAAGCGGCCCATAAGAGAAATAGAATTCGCTCCCCGTGTATTTTCTTTAAAATTTACGCTAACGACATTAGTTTTGTTTCCACCGCCGTTGAAGTCTCCGTGCACGCGCGCTATCTCCGCCGCGCGAGATCTCATTTCGCACTTTACTGTTCCCTATATTCCAGAGATCCTTGAAACTTCCGGTTATGAGTACGCTGGTGAGCTCGGCTTAAAATCAATCGAAACTTTCATCGTTTTTTTCGTCCGTTGCGCATATATCGCATCTCGCTGCGCCTTAAATTGTAAATTTGCACTTGGAAATTCCGTCGCGGCGCCTTCGTGGACGCGCGTCGAGCCGAAAGAGAAGGATCGAAGATTCGAAGACTTCTTTGTTCGCTTGTCGATTACTTCCTTGTGATTCGTTTCGTTGTAAATTTACAGCGCACACCCGAGTCGAAATTTTCGCCCTATGTTAAACCTTTAATTTTACAACATAGTAATAGCTAAGATGATAAAATGGGTTCAACAATAACAATGTTTTTTCACCGAACAATACGATGTAATCCGACGATACAACAATATATTTATTAAATAATATCGAATAATGTTGTTTTTGTGTGAGAGATATTGCTGCGATATAATGGGTTCAAACAAAAAGAAGTACCGAAATCAAGAACGGCTTTTTCTTCTGCACATCAGCGATGTTTATATGTTAAAAATACGCTGACGTTAACCGTTTATAATACTTATTTAGCTTTTCCTATTTTTAGATACAAGAGATGTTAACGTGTTTAAAGATTAGTGGCTGCCTCTCATGGACGATATATATAGAACGCAGTTTATTTTTAACATTATTGAACGATAAAGCGTGTCTGAGATAGACGATAGGAACGGAAGTGTGGGTCAAGTTCTTTCGAGAAGAAAAAAAAGAAAAGAAGATAAGGTGAATATCGCACAAATATTTGTCATTTACGTGATTCGCCGTGAAAAAGGCATCCCGGACAACGCGAAATGACACTTTAGAGACAGAGTTTCCGGCGAATTTCGGACAGACTGATGGAACTTCCCTGGTGGAAATGTCAATAAATATCGTTTCTCTTTCAATTCCTGGCATTAGATTTTCCGACGAGTCGAAGCGTCGATGGAAACTCATTTTAAAGACGCACACGCGGGGAGAATTAAAGGTTTAACATTATGACCAAAATTTCGACTCGGACTGATCATCTAGAAACGCGTGAAACGAATGCTTCGCCGATAAGCGCAAGAAGCGACGGTATTACCTCAATCAGCTGGCAATCAGCTAAGACAAAAAGGCGATGCTTACGACAGCGCGCGAAGGGTAGAAGGAGGAGGAGGAGAGGGAAGAAGAGAGCCCGTTCGGGAGAAAAACTGTCGGAAGGTCTGTATTAAAAAGTAGGTATCTCACGGGCCGAAGACATGCACGGAAGGTCCGAAGTTGAACGGATGGATGGTATGAAAATTACATAGTGGATATATAATAAACCGCGGATCGTACGCGCGAGGATTCCCCGAGAGAGAGAGCGTAATTTCGTCTCAAAGAGCCTAATGACCGGCCGCCATTGCGAGTAGCAAAGCATCGTTTGAACTTTTCGCTTTCGCCGCTCTCTTCGTTTTTTCACCCTCGTCCTCGCCCCTCTCTCTCTCTCTCTATCCGCACTCGTCAGCCTCTCTCACTCTCTCTTTCTACATACATCTCTCTGCACGTTCGAAATATTTCCGGAATTTTTTCCAATTAGGATACATCCGGAAACGGCCATTTTGCGCGCGTAATGTTTTTTCCCCTCTGCTATACGCTCGTCCGTGGGCCATTCGAATGTTTCTCATATATATACACTCGATGGTCTCTGCCTCTTATACTATTCGCGTCGAATACGTTCTCGTTCGACGCAAAAGCGAGAGAATATTATGATAAACCATGTGTGTATATGTGTGTGTGTGTGTGTGTGTGTGTGTGTACGCCGTTTTGCGAATTCCTGACGTACGAAATCCGCCGTGAAAGAGACGTGAAATAAATAGACACTCGACGACGATGCGTCATTTCGGGAAAATCGCGAGAAACGCAGCGTAGACGTGAGTCGGAGCAATTTGTTCAGTTCCACGCAGGACGCAGGGAATATAATTAAATGGATGAAAACGAAGAAGAGCGCGCGGCGCGTGTTCTCTCTCTC